CTTTAACCAGAAATAAAATACAGACACTGTGATGTGTAACACAACAGCGCCAGGGTCTGTCCCGCCATTCTGGCTCTCCCTTTTACACAGTTGTCGTTCCGGCTCTGTGACTAGATCTGCAGCTGGATTATTGCCACAACAACAATGTCCCCCATTCCATGATGATACCTTTTCTACAGTACATAACAGAAACAAACATTTTGTATTTGTACCCCTGGGGTACTCCAGCAGTTGCCAGCGGGTGTGTGGAACTAATTCAACTAAAAAATAGAAATTGAGGAAAAAAGAGGAAAACAAACACCAAAATAGGATTACAAGAGACATTCAAAGAAGGTACATTTACTAAAACAGATACGCCTAAAAGATTGAAATAAATGTTTAAAAGTAATAGTTAAATGACTGAAATAGTTCGCTTAAGTAATACATAGTTGAAAGAGCTAGCTAAAAGTAAAGTGTGGGTTTACAGTTAAAATAGCTTGTTAACTAAAAGTAACAAATGCAGTGAAATAAAGTAATGGATAAACAGTTGAAATAGTTAAAACATTGAGCATCTGCCACACCAAGTGGTAGTATGGGACCAAACTTGACCAAAGCACCCTACTGACGATTCAATAGTATGAAGAAAATATTTATAATCACTACATATATAATCCCTTCAAAAGAACACTGATCCACTGATGTAAACACCAACAGAAGCTGAACTGGCCAGTGAGTGAAGAACACCTGGACGCTTTGTTGATGTATGTTGCTCTTTTTTCCTCCTAAAAAACCCCTCTGAAGCTAACTGACCTCGAGGTGGCTTGTTAGCAAGAAGGTTTTAACCTTTGACCTTTGCTGCTTAGTTAGGACAGGGTGGGCCATTTAAACTTGGTAAAGCCCGGCAAGGGGGTGTCATGGTTAATAAGCTAACATCTGGAAGAGTTATGACCATTAGTGGAGCGCTTTGAGACTTTGACAAAATACCCTCATGAAAGGAGACACCCCTTGTGTGAAAATACAACACTTTCAAGTGAAAAGTAAAGAGCAGAACTGTGGCTCGCTGAGCCTGCTAGCTCAGGAAATGATCTCAAGAGTAAATGAAGCATTTCAGGAATGCTTCACCGCCTCATGGTATGGCGAGTTAAATGAAACATACCATTTAAAAAGGAAACTTGGCATAAAAAGTGCAGCATAGCCATACCCTAGTTCTCCAAACATACACAGAGGGAGACCTACAGTATGTCCTACAATGACCAAAGTAGTGTATTCCACGGCGAAAGTGAGAGGCCCGTCCAGAGGACTCATTCATGTCCATGTTCAAACGGGACAAGGGCAGTTTACAGAGGTTGATTGTGGGGAGGATACAGGACACCTCATTACACCACTGGCTGACTCCATATAAATGTTTAAGCTCGTGGATCCATACTCATCCTGCTGCAGAGACAACAGTGACTCTCTAAATAATGCAGAAGCAGCTAACAGTCATTATGAAGCCTCTGGTTTCAACAGGATCTCCAGTGAGAACTCACTCAAGCTTTTGGGGACTGACTGCTGAAGATGAAGATCAAAGGAATAGTGTGACATTTTGGGAAAATATGCTTATTCACTTTCTTACAGAGAATTACATGAGAAGATTGTCTGTCCATTAAATATGGAGCAAGACCTGTAAGCAGATTGTAAGCAGTGGTAAACAGGTAGACTGGCTCTTGCCAAAGAAAAAAAATGTATACTTTATACTTAACTGGCTAATTAAGCTAGCATCCCAGCTCTAGCTCCATAGTTAACGAAGACAGTGATAGAATTCTTTCCATTGTTTTCCAAAATGTAGAACTATTCCTTTAAGGCAATACGATTAGTAAAACAAAACTGGGGTAAATATGACTTATTTGATATAAATTATGTGGATTAATGTGGCATGTAATGTCTTGATTGTTGTTGGTGTTTTTGATCTGTAAAGTAAAAACAGCACAGACTTAAGCAAGCAGCAGCACCACTATCATTGAGGAAAAATTCAACACAAGTACATTTAAAAAGGAAAGAAAAAGCACCAACAATTTTCCTTCTAACATTTTCTTCTTTCCTGTAGGATACCACATCCTGATTATTAAAAATGATGTAGACTCAAACAGGGTTACTGAAACCCATACCTAAATCTGATTATTCACAGTATTCAGGTTACAGTGTATATGTAAACACACTGAATGTCAAGACACTTGGCAAGAAGGATGTCGAAACTCTTCTCGCACTGATTATTAACAATATGACTTTGTGGTGATATTATTCTGTAAACAACTGCTAAAAGCCAGAAAAGGGATGAAGAGATAATTTCAGAGTAAAAGAGGAAGAATGAGAAACACCCTGCAGACATTCATGAGTTGAAGTGGAGAGGTCAACCCCTGTACCAGTGGGCCCCATTCCCACAAGGATAAAAACAAAGTCTGTTCATACTAACTCCTCGCCCTGTCTGTTTACCTCGGCCTAACCTCACTACGATCCCCTTCCTCCGTCAACCCTCCCCACCTCCCAAACACCTCCCTTTCTACATATTCCCCCCGCTGAAGAGGCCCGAAGATGGCTGATTGGCCGACAGAGCAATCTGTCTTCACTCAGGCTTTTAGCACTGATAACCAGGCAGGAGCAATGAGGAATTAGCACAAATTAATAAAAAGTGATTGTGTCTATTTGTCTGGAGGCTTTGTTTTACCATCCCTTTATTGGACACTGTTTACTAGCTTAAATGACATGTGGTTAGTTTTAGCTAAACATCTCCTATATTAGCCCATTAACTCTCCTTTAAAAAAAAACTCCTCACGTCAGTAAAGTCACGTCTCAACCTTGTTCTGACCTGGGAAAGGAAACAGGGCTGTTTGAAATTCACTGTAGCCCATTACTCATAACTTTTCTGTTTTCTAGCTGACATATTTATATCAGGACAATGTCAAGGCCTTTACGTCCATGCCTGATATCAATCTAGGAGTCTGACTTCCACAGTCCCTCACTGGCCATGAAATGCAGGGACATTAATCCTGGGCAACAGTAAAGTGGCTGCGGTCGGCAGCCAGTCGCACTGTGATTCACTGCTGACCAACTCTCTGTGAGAAGGCAGTAAACCAGGCTCTGACAGCCTGCCAGAGTTGATTTCCATACAAATTGCTGCGGTGTGAGGCAGAGGATTTGTTAAGGAGGAGAAGGAGGTGACGTGTCCACACACAAACGTGTTTGCTCACAAGTTTCTGGTGTGAAGCTCAAACATGAGAAGTCGGCTGAGGCATGGACTCCATCCTTGCATCCGACTGTGAGCTCACGCATGTGTGTGTACACCTTTTTGCTGACACTGTGCATAGTAACAAGCTCAGCATCACCTTTGGCCCATATGGTGCTTGTTTGTGTGCTGAGCTGAAGCTTAGAGCCAGATACTGTCTCACAGCGGGATGGCATGTCAGCCCCCACCTCCCACCCTCACGCCCTCCCGGGTCTCTCCCCCCCTGTGTGTGGTCTCTTCCTCCCCTTCACATTCCTCCCTTTACTTGTCCGTGCACCGCTCAGTCTGGCAGAGCTGACTGACTGATACAAAGTCAGCAGGTAGGCAGCGGCAAGGCCTGAATCCAGACACAATAACACTCAAACAAAGACAGACACATTATTGGAAGGACAGACAAAGAAACAGAGGCAAGGCAGCAGGACCAAATGGCAACTCAGAGTCATGTGTGTGTTGCTGGGACACTATATCAACAACCAAAAGGAACCTGCTGCAGCTCAGCTATCCTCCCAACATTTGGATACCTCTAACACTATTGCATCCTGTAGTATTTGAATTTTATGGGAGGTGAAGGTAGTGCTTTGTGGCAGAAACATAAAGTCAACTCCCACACATGTATTTGCTGTAACCTAAAGTTTAGCACCTTTCCTCTCAAGTAAGAAAAAATGTGAATAACCTGGTGTATCTCTTAAGAATACTGTCATTAGTTGTAAAACCCACACAGGGTTGTCATTTTCTCCAGCAGCTGGTGCCGTCATGCATTTACAGCCCATGAGATCACGATATAGGAGGCTGCATAAAGGTTTCCATTCATTGTTTCTGCGCAGCTATATGCTGCCTTAAAACACATCCCAAAGAGGAGAGCCAGAGGATGGGGAGCAATTATTACTAATTACATGGCATACAGAGCTTTGTTAACAAGCTTTGTTAAACATAACACTGTGTCGACAACAAAGGGAAGCTGACTGGCAGGGCAATCCACTAAAACCGACCACACAGTATTTGAGGGAATAAAGTCATAAGAAATATCATCTCTCAGGCCATCTGGATGGATGGAGCAGCTTGAAATGATGAAAAGCAGCCTGTGTTGTAAATGGTTTGAAACTGGCGAAGCTGGTGACATGTCACTGCTCACGGCAACCAAATAATGCCAATTTTTGAAAGGAGTTTTGTACAGGGAAAATTGTGGCAGCCCTTTAGATAATATGAAAAGATATCAACTTGCTATTCTTTGTTGTGTGAGAGAGTTTCACATTTACATTTCTACATTTTCAACATTCAAGAAGAGAGACACTGGCTATTTCACAAGGGGCAAAATAACTATCCAAACCTTCTGTTTGGAATAGAAAGATGCACTGAAAATAAATCATTACTGATTCCACAAACACTACAACTTTTGAAAGAAGGTAAGACAACTTCTGCCAGCAGATTTAACTCAATTTTGTGATTAGTAGAATGAAAATCCAGAGGAGGGGGAGGAGGAGTGTTCAACCCTGCCAGCTACATGTTGTTCAAAGTTTATGACTTTCACACGTTTCTCTCAGTGTGGTAAACAAATGTTGTGTGGTTCTACAGAGAAAAAAACACATTATACTCTTGCATGACTGCAGTAGCTGTTGTTTTCATTTGTTTGCATTGCAGCTTTCTATATTCTGCCACAGGATTTCCTTCTGACAACTTTCTGGATTTCAGATGCATATGGAAAGTTGATAATAATACCTAATAATATCATCAGATCATTGACAGTATTGAGGTTACATACCGACAGCTTTAATGATGAATCCCTTTGGTGACCTTAGAGCCCTGCGCATCCACGCTTCTCTCAGCACCTCCAGGTTGTTTGCGTTCCCTTGAATGAAAAGCACCATATTTTCCATCCATCCTTGAAAGTACACCTCTGCTATGGCCTTGACGAGTCTTTTATTCCAGAAACTACGTGAGTTTTGCGCTTTGAAGTCCGCAAATATCTCCTGACCACTCGTAGTATTAGTGTTGAGTTTCCCTCCGCCGGCGCGCAAACTCTCCTCGTCCGGGCCGAAGACCACAGCGAGTGAAGCGGCGGAGAGTTGGACGACCCGCTGCTGGTGAGACATTTTTAACGCCTTAATCGGCCCCAGGAAGGAGCTATCATACTAGTAATGAAAATGCACTTGTTAAAAAACAGGTCTCCCTTCTGAAAACCAAAACAAACGCCGGGTTTTGAAACGCATTCCTCCACTGTGCGTCTCAAATCTACACGAAGTGTACCGGAGGCGCAGAGGACGTCCGACTGGTTTCTCTCGGCTTCTAGGGAAACCAGTGACGGTGGCAGAGAGGAGGAGGGCTCATCAGTCTGCTGCTGGGACACACAGGTAGACCTCCCACCGTCTGTTCACAGGTGTGTGTGTGTGTGTGTGTGTGTGTGTGTGTGTGTGTGTGTGTGTGTGTGTGTGTGTGTGTGTGTGTGTGTGTGTGTGTGTGTGTGTGTGTATGTTGATTGTCTTCTGCATGAACCTGCAGGATGGATGACGTTTTTCATTTCAGTCTTTGAGAGAAAATAATAGTATGACTGCTCTTAAGTTCAATTCAAGTAGCATTTTCTCCTCACTTGACCACCAGCAAAAAAAGACAACAAAAAAACAAAAACAGATACAGCTCATATCAGCTACTGAACACGATCCCTGGGGTGGCAGGAAGCCAGTTTTATGCTCTAGGGCACTTCAGCAATAGCCTACATGGACTAAGTCACATAGAGATCCTCAATGAGCCTCCCTGGCTCCAAATATACCTGTGGCATACAAGTAGAATGCTCTCATTTTGTTTTTCTGGTTGCTTTTCCTGCTTCATTATTTGATTTTGATTTATTTGGATAATCCCTCATCATAAAAACCTCATCACATTTTATCAAACAAAAGGTGATGTTTCCAAAAAGATAACTGAATGATAAGATTAACTTTTTTGGGATTACAGCAAAGTATCCAGCAAAGTAGCCGACAAGTTGCAACACAGCACAGATCTTATCCATATGTAAGTAAAGGTCTGAATTAAGACACAACATGGAGGCCTCATAAAACACTTCCTGCACAGAAAATTGTCTTTATCTGAATCAGCATCAAAGGAGGCCAACAAAGCTTGGAAGTAGCTTTTGATGATGGATTTAGAATGAATGCATATAAAATCAATTTATTTCCATCACTCTTTATGATTAGTTGGCTGTTAAATAATTTAAAATTTAACATAGATACCAGAGCCAACTGGTTTATGTGGTAAACAGGGGTCTTATGAGAAAAAATTATGCCCTTTGTATTTACATTACAGATTTGGATAATATAACAAAGCTGAATTATTGCATTTCACAACAATGACTTTACAAGAGAAAATGCTGATTCAATCAATGTGCATGAGTCTCTGCCACAGGGAAGATATTTGCCACTAAAATGAGAACCATATCCTCCTGTGCTCTAAAAAGAGGGACCCCATTAGGCCCTGCATTTACTGAGGCTGGAACAGGCAGAGTCTGAAGCACAGACAGACAGACACCTCATATATCACAGTCTCAGAAAGCCTGCAGCTTTAGTTTCAGGAGCACGAAGGCCCCTCAGAAGCCAGGGACCAGTCTGCCTCGGTGTGGTATTAGAGCCTGTGTGGGAACAGGATATTGCGCTTCCTCTGTACATTAAAAGAATACATCACCTCAACCTACACAGGATGAATTATGTGCAGTCTGTCCCGGCGAAGCAGAGTTGCATGAAGTTGGGGGGCAAAAGAGAAAACTTGCAAAGATTCTGCGTGGGATTTAAGATTTAAGTCTTTAAATAAGACATGAGTTGAAGAGATTCTTTGTGGCTTATGATTTTTAAAGCTTTTGATAATAATTTTAAGCATTACCAGTTCAGACCAACTTTTACAGTCATTACAAACTCCCGCTGTGCAGCCAAACTTTGTTCAAACCCACAGAACGTTATTGAAATACTAGAGGAGATCCCAAAGTTTCCAAAGATACTAAAACTGAAAAATATTTATAAAATAATGCACAAGACATCTGGAATATTTTCATTTAATGGAATAGTACCCTCACAAAAAAACAATGAAGTCTTTGGTTTAAACATTTCATTCATTTAAAACATCATTTATGATCAATTCAATGAAGGATCTAAACAACTGATACAGAATATACGGTATATAATACAGTCAGAAAATGTGAAACTAAGTTTATTTTTCCAACCTTAAAGGTAACCTGTGGAGTTTTTGACCTCTGGCAGCTCTGTGGAGCAGTTTATTCTGGAGTAGGTTCCCGTTTAGTTTGTCTTGTGCATGGTTTCTGTTGGAGTCTTCCAGGATTTTTTCTGGTAACTTTTTGGATCTCAGGAGTTTCCAATCTTTGTGGTAAGCTAAGCTAACCAGCTGTAGCTTCATATTTAACATGAGAGTGGTATCAATCTTCATATTTAACTCTCACCATAAAACTGAATAAGCATAATTCCCACAATGCTAATCTATTCCTGGAATTACTGTTGTTTTCCATTCATTATTTATCAGTGTGTATGGCTTTTGTACCATCACTTTCACAGAACTGCAGCTGTGATCTGAGGATGGAAGATTTTTGGTTCCCTGGCTTGTAATGCTAATGTAGCTGCTAAAGTTCAAAAGTCTTCACACATGGGCTGGCGGAGAGGCACGTCGGACATGAACTAGAGATGTTATTTTTTTCTGAGCATCTTATTCCTTTATTAGAGAGCAGACAGTAGAGCTGACAGGAAATGAGGGGAGAGAGATGGGGAATGCAACGAAAGTCCCCAGCCAGAATCAAAAAGGAGGGGTTGCAAGTATTAAATGCATGAGATATGTGAAAAAGATAAAATGGGTTTAGAAAATAAAACGGGAAATTGTTTGTTAAAGGGTTAACCTTAATTACAACAAAAGCTTAAAGCTTTTTTTTTTTGCATTGCCGTTTTCTTTTACTAAAAATACAGTGACTGTACAACAGATTCCCACAACACAAAGCATCCATGGTATTACACACATGTCCAGACCACGAAAACATTTTTAGCACTGTTTGCATTACATGGATGTTTGCAGAAATGCTCATTGTTTGGTACCAGTGATTTCCTCCAGATAAAAATATTGGCACACACTTTGTTTTATCTGAGCATGTACAATGGGCCCTGACCCGCCGGCCTTACCCACATTTAAAATCTGAGGGCTCTTTCTTCTAAATGTTTAGTCTGCTGGTTGGACTGATTATCAAGAAGCAAAGTTCACCAAGTTACCATAATTACATGAAATCCTGCACTCTCCGGCCCCTGATTTTCAATTAGCATATGTATCTCTCCCTCTTGCTGTGCATTGAAGCAATTTTGAAGTAGTATCAGGTGTCTCTGACAGGCCAACGGCCTTGACGTGATCACAGTGTATATTTTGAATATGATAATTCCAATGAACCGCAATCCTGAACCTATAGTTTGAGTCTCTACATAACTAAAACATCTGGTCCTGCTATAAGACCTTGGCTCTTGGGACATTTTCTGACTAAAACACCCCTAGAAGGCTTCCCCTTTACCTCCGTGCCAAGAATAAAATAGCCTATGACCCAAATTGTCCTCAAACCTCCTGCTCATGAGACAATATGTATGCAGTATAACTTCTGCATCAAGCTTTACATTTTTTTAGAGGGTGTATCACCTCTTTGTTAGGGTTAGAATGGCACTGAGGAATTTAAATATGAGTTGTAACACAGAGGAAACAGAAAGGGTCAGTGCTGCCTCATATGGTGGAGGTCAGAAGTCATTAGAGGGTCAGCTCTAGGCCATTTGTTTGGTAACCTGTTGAAATGGTATTCCAGAAAGGATATGACGATTTAGACATTTAAGAGAAATGAGGCTACATGACTATGATTGATTGCTATTGTGTATTTAGCTAGACCTTTGACATCAACACACACATTTGCTTGCTTATACCCCTCCAGAGAATATTCAAAGGAATAGGTTGACATTTTAGGAAATACGGTCAGGTGCTGTCTTGGTAAATATATGGCTACATCCAGCAGCTGGTTAGCTTAGCTTAGCATAAAGACTGGAAACAGGAGGAAACAGCTAGCCTGGCTCTGTCCACTGGTAACCAGCACCTCTGCAGCTGGATTCATGGATACAACAACCAAATTAACTGAAAAAGCAGAAACATGTTATGTTGTGCAGGATTCCAGGGGTTATGTGCTAGCCAGGCTATCTGTTCCCCCCTTTTTCCAGTCTTCATGTTATCAGCCTCCTAGCTCCAGCTCAATAGCTGAGAGTGGTATTGATCTTGTTGTTTTTCTCTCTTTAAGAGAGCCAATGAGTATATTTCCCTAAAAGACAAACTACTGCTTAAAGAGGCTGAAGATAGAATCTAAAAACATTGAGGTGAAACTCAGCCTTGGAAGTTGACATTATAAATTTATGTTCTTGGATCAAAAATGTAATCCCTTCATCAATCCTGCTTGTTAAGAGCTTCTTTTTTTAATCTTTATGGCTGAGTGAACATGTCCCAACATCAGTCTGGGTACTCTGTTATTACAATTTCAGTATTTCAGCACTCTGCCATCGCAGCCGAGATCAAAGGGAGCCCAGGCCGGTTAGGGCTCAGTCTCTGCAGTGTGTATTAACATGTAAGACAATAATGTATTCACGCTCAAGTGCTTCAGAGCACAAATCAATGCACATCTTAAGTGAAACCTGCAGGAGCGACTCAGTAGGCAGACGGAGAAACATAATGATAGTGGTTTTGCCATAAAACATGATTACTTAAGTTGGGACTATAATTGACTCATGTTGTTTTAATAAGTCTAGGGCAGAGAGGAAATCCAGCAAAGCACTTAGTCTACAGAGGAGGAGGACTGCTTTATACTCTAAGCTTTTTAGAAGACATTTTAACAGAGCGAAAAGGAGAAAAGAAAGACTTAGAGTTACTTTGAGCTCTGTACAGTATGTTAGAAGGTGGTGAGTGATGGTTTACACCCACATCCTTAAGAACCCCACACACACACACACACACACACACACAAAAGACCCTGTGGACATGCTAGAGATCACAGCCATGTGAGAGATGTCTACAGCTGCACTTTGAGGTTGGGTGAGAGTGCAGGAGGGTCGGTTGGTTTAGTCT